ATATATATATATATATATATATACATATTTACTCTATACATACATGTAAGAAAAAAATGTACGTGTACACACGTACAAAGAGAGCGATATAACCGGGTTCAACTTTTACTGGGATTCACATTTGGGTATCGAGGGCAGCCTAGACGTCATTCCCGTCCACCAAGTGAAACTGACCATTTCGTTTGACCGCCGCCAAGTGAAATATTATTTTTTTTAATCTTGTCCTTTTATTTTTAATTATATAAAAATTTATTTTCATATCTTTTCAATCGATTTAAAAAAAAAAAAAAAAGAAATTATACAATCCTAATTAGTACAATTTTTATATCCTTTCTAATGGATTATTTTAATTCTTACGAACAATTTGTAATTAATCAAATAACGTCATAAATACTCTTTGTCAAAATTGAAAACAACGAGTCAAATTATCATTTTATTTTATTTTTTTTCCTCTTTCTTCATTTTAAATCAATTCTAAATGTTTATTTAATCGTTATAACTTCATCGTTTTCACTGTAATAATATATTAAATTCACAATTCTATGTACAGTTATAATTATGATATCATTTGATTAATCACATCCATTTATATCGAAGATCACGAAGAAGTAAATGATTTTTAATTAATGATGATAACATCATACTACATACTATGACAAGTGTTATTTTAGTCTTTTATCAAGGACAGATATATCAGGATATATCTTATGGTTCATTCAAGGATTAGCAAATTAACACGAAGATCGTAGAATTTCTTGAGGAAAAGGTAGAGAAGGGAATAAAGATCCTTGGAGTTTCGCGATGAATCTCTAAGAATTTTCGTGACAGTATTGACAATGAGAATAAGGAGGATTATTTGTATTACAATCGAATATGCATGATGCGACGTCTCCTTCGATATATATGTACTGGTCGATTACCAACCATAGTCTACGCGTATTCATTTGCATTGGAAAAAATGCGGAAGAAACAAGAGGGAAAGCCCGACGTAAGAAATTAGATGAATTAATTTGAAAATTTATTCGTAAGGAAACGAGAGAGAGAGAGAGAGAGAGAGAGAGAGAGAGAGAGAGAGAGAGAGAGAGAGAGAGAGAGAGAGAGAGCGTGAGAGAAAGAGAGAGAGAGAGAGAGAGAGAGAGCGTGAGAGAAAGAGAAAGAGAAAGAGAGAGAGAGAGAGAGAGAGAGCGTGAGAGAAAGAGAAAGAGAAAGAGAAAGAGAGAGAGAGAGAGAGAGAGAGACTTAATAAAGAAAAAAGAGAGAGACGGAGAGATTTTAGATTTGAATTTTAAAGAAAACAAAATTTTGTTCTGATTATTTGATATATCTATACATTCGTTTGGTCTTTTCTGGTTTTATTAATATAATAATAATAATAATTATTATAATTATTATTATTATATAATAATTATTACAATCGTTATCATTATTATTAATTTCTTATAATATTTATTTTTAATTTTGACATTGCCCAAACTATATATCGATAGATATAAATTATCTATATTATTAATTATTTTTTAACGATAAATGTATCACTTCAAATTTATCATTATAAAAAAAAAAAAAGGAAGAAAGAAAAAAAGTACGGATATATTGACAAAAAAAAAAAAAAAAAAAGATAGGATGGTTATGCGTACGAAATATCTATAGAAGTCAAATTGAATCTATTCGCATATTGGGCGCGTAAATTCCGCTGGGTCCCTCCGTTCATTCATGCAAGTAACGTTCAATTGACGCACTCGCGACAATGAATGATTCATCTGTTACTCCGTGAATGGAGAAGTCGTTCGAATGTGTTAATATTTGCCATAAATTACAATCACTTCTTCTATATTTCTATTTACTTATGATCTAATAATATTATCGAAAAAAACATGAAAAGCGTACACGCGAGTACAATGGAATTAATTTTATTATTAATAGTACGAAAATAAAGAACAGATAGAGGAAAGCTTAGAGGTGAAGAAAGTAAGAGAGAAATAGATAGATAGATAGATAGATAGATAGATAGAGAGAGAGAGAGTGAGAAAGAGAGAGAAAGAGGGAGAGAGAGAGAGAGCAAATATGGTAGTATATATATAGAAGTATATTAAAAAAAAGATATTCCGATTGTCTTACCGTCAAGTAAAAAAAATAAATTAATCGATTAATAATCTTGTCATGAATAGATCAGTTTTATATAGATCTTCTTTGATATAGATTTATGAACATATCAATGAAATTGGTCATCGAGCCCTTCGTTACCATATTTATATTTTCTAACAAAATATTTATTACATAAATTATTTGATCTATGATATATATATATATATCTAATTATATATAATTTTCTAATATAATATATTAGAAATCTAATAAAATAAATATAATATATTAATAAATATATATATATAATTTTCAATCAAATTTAAAATACTAAGGAGATAGTAAATTATTTCTGTGTCAAAATACTGTCTTGCAATATTTATATAAATCTTATAATTTTTAATAAAAAAGAAGATTAATATAACTAAGCGATAATAAACAGAAATGCATATAATTGGAATTTCATATAATTTCAAAGTAGAAGAATTTTTTATTTTTCTTTTATTCTTTTTTTTTCAATTTATTTATTTATTTATTTTTTTCTTTGATATATATAAACATTTATGATATTTGTTTCTAATTTTTGTTTGAACGTACAAAATTATAAACGATACATCTTTGAATTAATAATATGAAACTAATAAAATAATAATTTAGAATGAATAATATGAAATTAATAAAACGAAAAATTAATTTCAATATTTAAATAAAAATCGGCTAGACCGATTATATTCCTACCATAGAAGATTTTCCGTTATAGAACATTTACCGTTAAACCACCCCCTCCCCTATCTCTCTCTCTTTCTCTCTCTCTCTTCAGAAATATTCATGAATATTGCATAAGATAACAAAACAGAATAAAATTCTGGGAACTGGATGGAATAAAAATAAGAAATAAATAAGGAAGAAGACGTGGACATCCAAAGCAATCCAAGTCAATTTGATTTTTCAATCAATAAGAATTTTTATTTGAGATTCCACATAAAATAATAATTAAAGTTGAATCAAATTATTCTTTATAATTTGTATACTCAGATATTTTATGATGAAACGAAAAAATTGGTGTTTTTTTTTACGTAAGAAAAATAATCGACAGTGTGTATGGAAACGACAAGAAAAGATAAAAAGAATTAAAATTTGTTTTAATCGAATATATAGAAAAAAATCAAGATCATCCAAACGAGACACATCCATTGACTTATGAAAAATTTCTCACAAATAATCGGCTAACCTACTTACAAGATCTCGAAAATTTCGTTCTCATCTTTACAACCGGTTCTCATTCGTCAATTGGATAATATTTACCATTACGAACCTAACATTATAAACTCAAAGAATATTTCTAGCTAGTAAGGGGAACATTTACCCAAAGATTGCGTAATACGAATAAGCAAGTCGTTCAATCTATGGCTAAGCAAGGCGTGCCATTAAGTGATCCGAAGAATTTCAAAATCCAACTCTTTCCTCTTTTGACTTTTGTACGAGAAAGTTCCTCAGTATATTTGACATTCGAAACTCAATGTAATCGTCATCGACGAAATCTGCTATTTTCTAAGGTATACCTATTTATTTTTTCTCGATATTTACGATCATTACGATCTTCTCGTTTTCTTTTTTTAAAGAAGAAAAAAAAAAAAAAAGAAAAAAAAATATAAAATATCTGTTTATTGATAAAACACAAATACTTTCAATTTCGGCATATATCAAATTAGATAAAATTATTATTACGCGAGGAAATATTTGTCAAGACATTATAGCATTAAATATAATTATTTCGTTCTTCGTTATATATCAATATACGAATGATTTCTATCTTGTTGCGTCGCGCCATACGACGATTTGAATTCGAAAGTTACAACGAGTAGAATGCGCATGCGTCGGTTGTACAAATGTCGCTCTTCTAGTCAAGTTAGTACTACTTCTTTCATCTGCAAGATAAAATTAAACGTAAAATATTCGCAAGAAAGCATGGATTTTCTGTGTTAAATGATTCTCATTTTTTTTTCACGTATTCATCCTTTTCTTTTTTAGAGATGAAAAGAGAAAGTTCTTATTTTAAATGATCATTATAAGACGAGAGTTGGAATCACGTGGTCGCAGGCGTCTTATGTCGTCTGCTATAAACAGCTGTTCCGATAGAAGGCGCAGAAGAGCGCAAAATCCGTTCATTCGTAAAATGAATAGGTCAGGTCAAATGTAGATAAATACAAACTTTCTTTTAGATTTGAAACATTGTTGACGAAGAACTAACAATTGATATAGCATCAAAACTGACGACATATTTTCATTCGATATTAAGTCGTCCATTAAAACCATTTTCAACAAAAATGTATATATATATATATATGTGTATTTAAATTTGGTGCTATTCGCATGTTACATAAGTTTCAACGAGAACACAAAGCGTAGAACAATAACAACGACTACTTTGATCATTTTCATCCCGAAAATTTTTTACGTAATCTCTCAAGATTCTAATGTTTTACGTAATCTCTTAAGTTTTCAAAGTTCGATGACTTTCTCTTAAAGGAACTTTCAAATTTCGTAAACTCGTCACCATGTGTATAAAAGAATTCTCAAATTTCATAGATTCGCCATCATGTGTTTATATAAATCATTAGATAAACGAGACAGATGTACGTTTTAGTCTAATTAAATAGTTCATGCCGGTTGAGGTTATGTTCAAATAACGTAAGAAATCTCGAGAAAGCTGAATGAAAGCGATCAAATTATGTTTTCCAATCGTAAATTACAATCGAGAGGTATACTTAAACGATGAAAAGAACGTATTAATTTGAAGAACTTTCGAAATTATTATTGATTAATATTATACACGTAATATTGGATATATCTTATGAGTCTAAAGACTCAGTAAGAAACGATATAAAAAGAAAGTGGACAAGAATACGGCTTACCTGACATTGTTTCTCCGTCGGGCTTATGGCTCGTTCGATCTCCACTCGTGACTTGGTAAATGTTGTTGAAAGTTTCTTTCGTATTTCAGAAAAATGTCCGAACTGGCACAGTTTTTCCGCACGAGCACAAAGCCGACTCGACCCTATACACGCCATAGCGAAAACTGTAGTGAGTCGAGCCAGCCAACTTGTGAAGACTTTCGACCTAGACTAATCCCCACCGATATTTCTCAAAGACGTGACCCTCTCCCCCACTCTATCCCCACTTCTTTGCTCACCTTTCGTTTTCCCAATACGTTATTTCTTTAAATGTACACTCCCAAAGAGTGCGTTCCTTCTCCATGCGAGAGAGTTTTTGTATATGTAGCGTATCGTTCAGTGAAGTTGCCGCGTCTTACTAATATTATCGTAGTGGTACGATCATAAATCGTAAGAAATACATGATCGTAAGAACTCGTATTCTCATTTTTGACAAGACAACAAATTGAGCGGTAATAATAAACGATTGACTCGTTCATTCTGAAGAGAGATCCGTATCGAAAAGAATTTGTTTGATAAGCGATCGTCGATCATTAAAACATTTTCTTTTTTTTTGTTTTTTTTTTACTCCTTAATTTTTATTGTATATTCTTCTTAATATTAAAATAATTCGCTTGTCATTTCCTCGAGAATAGAGAAAAAGAAAAAAAAAAAAAAGAAAAAGAAGAAGAAAAAAAACTTAAAATTTCATTATAATGTCATAATAAAAATGATCATTTTACAAGTTCATCTTCGATCTAATAATGAAACATATCTGTTTCATCTTATTAAATAATCATATAAAATTGATTTACAATAGATATTAAAAGATTTTGAAAATCTTTTTAAGATTTGTCGCCTTTAGATAGATCGTCATTGTTAAATCTAGTCACTAAGATCTCTGGTATCATATTTGCTTCTGCATTGATTAGATGAAAATTAGAATATTCCGTTATCGTGCAAGGTGCATTAGTTTTGTTTTCTGCTACATTGAAATTATATTCTTGTGCTGTATCCCCATGATTTCTATTAACGGTATACCATTGGGACATCATTTCTCTAAGCGGTTGAAGATTACTTGCATTTTGTTGAATCTTTTTCAATTCTTCGTTACACAGTTGTTCAATTTCTGCCAATCTCCGTGCATAAGCTTTGGCAACCACTTGACGATGCATATTATAACGTTTCTCTGCTTGAGCTAATGCTAATGTATCCTGATATTTTGCAAGTTTCTTCTCATATTCTAATATTGTAAGCTCCGTTAATGCTTTCTCCGATGTTACATCAATAATATAATCTATAAAAATCATACATTATAATAATATTCTTTGTAGTATTATGTATCATGTTTCATTACCTATATCATTAGAAAGAGGAGATTCGGCTGCATATGCAGCTGCAGCTGCACGTGCAGCTGCAGTAGCTTCCTCTAATGCAAAAATATCGCTTTGCTCTCTCAATAATTGAAACTCTTCCCTTTCTTTTCTCCAAAGAGTAACTTCTTTTTTTAATTCCTCTCTCAAATACATCATCAATTCGTTTAACGAATTAATACGTTCCCGAAGAGCACGACTGAAAATATAAAGAATTAATAAAATATCAACGATCACTTATAACAATTATTTACAATTAAAATACTTTTTATGATATAATAAGTACTCTATATATTTAGATTCCTCATTTTCGTTGTCATCGAACTCTTCGTAATTTTTATTCATTGATAAAGAATTCTCCGATTGTTCTAAGACAGCCGATAGTTTTTCATATGTATTGTCGTATAAAATATCACCTTTTTCAGTAGTCTCTACATTTTGAAGATCTAAGTTTAAATTAAGGTCGTCCTGAACCTTTTGATTATGTTCATTTTCATAATCCTCTGAACTTTCGTTTCTGTTCTCGGAATCATTAACAGAGGTCCTACTACTGAAGGATCTGTCAGTTTGTATCTCTGATAAAGAAACACACTCGTTTTCCATTAGGAATATTCTTGATTTTTGTTCTTTTTTTATATTAAAAAAAACATATTATATTACTTATCTAAAAATTTTTATCGTGTCAATAGTTAAATTCGGTCTTGATCATAAAATGCTCGATTTGTTTTTGTTATTCTCTTGTTTTTGTAAGATAAAAAAATCTAGATCTAATTTATATATATATATATATGTATATATATATGTATATGTTTATATGTATACATATATATATAGGAAAAATAAGTCAATTTAAAACGATAACTGCAAAATTATAATGAATTTCGTTTCTCTTTATTTTTTATTATTAAATCATATATTTTATTCAGTATAAGAAAAAAAAAATCATTAACTTTGATAACATTGATATTCTAATAATTGCTATGTTCTAATATAAAATATAATCTAATCTATAATCTAATATAAAATTATTACTTATGCATATATATAAAATATATATTTGTACATGTATAAAAATATTAAAATTATTCTGCAGCAGGTTTTAGGAAGCATAAGCTTATATAAAAATATAATTATTGGAATTTTCATTTTCTAAAGAAATTCAATAAATTACATAAATTCATATATTTATAGAAGTTTAGGCATTTGCTTCAATGTTGATATATCCAATATCTTATTAGGACAATTGGTCCGAGACATTTGTGCGTACGGATATTGTTGCGTTATTGGACTATGTTTAATGTTTCCTATTTTCAGATCTGCTTTTGGTGACCCTTCCAGGCACATTACATTATCATCTGCAAAGGATAGTATTTGTCATTGTCTCTGAATTGTTAAAATTTGTAGATTACAATTTGAAAAATATAAATCCTTTACCTTCAATTTGTACATTATTTTTTCCTGGGAGTAACTGATATCTTTCTAAATAACGCATTGTAGCAAATGATAAGTTAGTTCCTTGCATATTACTTAACATAACTTGTTTTAATGATGTAGATCCCTGTTTTTGTGTTGTTAATTCAGCAAGCTGTTCATCGCTTAGATATTTTAATGCTAATGCTTTCATGTGCATACTTGTATTTGTTTCAGTAATACCACTTGTAGCACGAGTAATATTTGCTTGATAGTCCAATCGTGGATAAAATGACGAATCAAATTCTACTCTACAAAAACAATATTATAAAAATATATTGTATATAATTAATAAAAATAAATTAATAATGATATCTTATTTATAAATAAATCTATAAGATGTCACAGAAAAATACATACTTTCTTGTACCATTTTTTTCTCTGGATTCAGGCTTATCCACTAAACTAATACCAAGTTTTCGTAATTGTTCTAAAGTGGCAACCTTCACAGTGTCTAATATTGTTTTATTTTCATTATCATCTTGTTCTACATTGTTTCTTGTTTTTACGTCCTTTGGATCACTAGTATCCACAGTCGATGAATTCTGTAAAATTTGATTCACTTGCCCTAAGACATTATTATAAAAAGTCCATCCAACTTTGGAAGTTCGTTTAATCTTATCACTTTCTTCATCGCTAGAATATTCTTGCATATCAACATGAATACTTGGTTCAGGTGTTACAGGAGCCATTTCAGTTATTTTAAAATCACCACCACTTAGCACCAAACTATCTTCTACGCGTTTATGTGTTTTAGCAAAACCATCAGACTTATCACATCTGTTTTCATTCTTTGCTTCTGTATATTCTTTTGGATCATTAAGTACATCATTTGTTATACAGTGCTCGTAATTATAAGGAGGAAATCCTGTATCTTTAGTAAGTCTTTTTATATCTTCCTTTTTTGTTCTTTGTTTTTCATAATTTATTGGCGAATATGTTTGCTTTTGTGCATTCAATTTATTAGAATTCTGAAATATATCTTTATTTGATTGAGATGACTCATTTATTCTTTCTACAGGAACATTTCGTGCATTTTGAGTATCTACATGATTTCTTTTTTCCTGTATATCTTTCATTGAACAACTTACATTAAAATTACTACTCTGTGGTTGACTAGAGGATAAATAACTTTCAGAATCTTCAACTATATTTTCCAACTGTCCAACAGGAAGTCTTGTAAAACAATTTTTATTTCTTTTCAATGTTTCACAAGTCTCCTGCAAATGTTTATTATTTTGTCTATTTATAACATCATTCTGTATTTCATCCTTTTGAAGATTTTCATAGTCCACTACAATAGGATTATTTTGAACCGTAAATTCAAAACTTGTCATCACACCAATAGATACTTGTTGTTCCATTACACCTTTCTCTGCATGCTGCTCTGACAGAATAAGTTCTGGTTGATTTATAATTCTAATATCTTTACTATTTTCTACATTTCTTTCTATAACAGAGGTACTTTGACAGGCATTTCTTTTAACTTTTTGATTTGGAGTTGTTTGATAATTGGAAGTATCAATAGTTCCTGCATGAATGTATCCATTTTGTTGTACCGTTTGAGTTGAACAGACACATTTCTTTTTGTCCATTAAAATATCTTTCTGCATTTTTAAAAGATTATCTACTTGCGATTGTAAAGATTGAATTTGTTCACTTTGTGTATTAACTAATTGCAACAAATTTTTGATTGTTTCATGATTATCCGTATTATGATGGTGCATTGGATAAAATGGTGGAAAAGGATATGTACTCATGTCAAAATATTGATATGGATAGCTTGGATGATGTGACATTGGTGGAAATTTATTATTAGAAAAAACATTTGGAGTAGTTAAATTATGCACATTTGGATGATTCTCTGTATTATTTACATTGACCTGCGTTTGCATACAATTTTGAAGAACCAAATCTTTTTTATTTGTAGAAACATAGGGTGTATTTGTGCTATGATTATGATGATCATTATAAGTATTCGAATCTTGTTTAGAATTACTTAATAGTCTTGTCTTCTCATTGTAGTCAGAATAATCTTTATTAGGATTATGCAATGTCGCACATGTGGTATTAAATGGATAATTATGTGGTGTACGTGACCTTATATGATCTTGTTCCCTTTTATGAACATGCATATCTTTCTTTAAGATTTTATTACCGTTACCACATGAATCATTACTTCTATCAATACTTTGTAAAGAGGTTACAGGATTATATTTATAATCATGTTGGACTTTATGTGAATTGTCAATCTCATCAATCTTGTAATTGGGAGTTTTAGAAAAATTATATTGTCTCCAAGAAGCATACGATGCATGCTTGTTAAAAGAAGGAGAAACAGAGATGTCAGACTTCGGATTCCTATTCTCTGAAGGTTTATCAAAAATAAGAGACACTTCTGGCACCGATGAAACTGCAAAATTCTACATACGACATGTTTTATCTATTTATATAAAATATCGAAGAAAGATTAAAGTTAAAATATGAAAATGAATGTACCTCAACTTTCGTTGCAGGCTTAGGTGTAATTCTCGGCTCAAATTCTTCTACATCATTATTAAATTGACGTTGCATATTTTAATCGTTTGGAGTAACAATATTAAATAATTCAAGTAATACCTCTTTCTTCAATTTTTCTTATAATATATATCGTATAAGAAATATTTTCAAATAACGTACACTCAATAACGCCAAACCACAACGTATATTAAAATTTCACTGTCAGAAGATTAATGTCCCGCGCGAAATCGTTAAGCTTTATAGCATCAATGTGATTGGTAGATAGATCAATTTAAATTCTATCGAATAAGAATTTCTTTTTTGAATTTCAAAATGAATTACAATAAAAATTTAATATGAATAACGATCAAATTTTATTTGAATTTTTATTCGTATATCGATATCGCAAATTTATTAAAAATTCGACAAATAAAAAACGATAGCTAGATACTTATCGCGAAAGTAAATATTAGTAATATTTAAACTTTATTTGAAATGTTGTTATATAAATAAATGTGCTAAAAAGAAAAAAAAAAATAGAACAAGAAAAGAAAAGAAAAAAATAACAATAAAGAAGAAGAAAGAATGCCATGCTACGAAATCAATGTTAGTTAATCGTACGATCGATTATATTCAACCAATAACGTATGAAATAGAGGAGAATGTACGTGATGAATCACACCTAAATATTCTCTGATAGGTAGATAATGTCGTATGGTCAAAAATAAATGTAAATTCCCTAAATAAGAAACGTTGGTTTGTTCCTTGATTGACCAACAATATTGCGATTATCCGTTTACATATCATGTGACCTTTTCTCATTTATGCAAACCTCAGTAATATTTTGCTCACGATCTCACTGCAAAACAATAACAAACCCTTGTCTGAGAAAGCTTGCTAATGTATTATATTCTAAAGTGTATTGGACGATATTAAGTGTCAAATGATTTTATTATTAATTTTTATATTTTGTATTTTTCGTTAAACAAAAATTATAGATATCATTTGAAAAAGGAAAATGTATATCTACTTGCGATGTTCTCGGTTATAGAAGAAAATAGTTGCTGACGAAAGTCATGGTCATTGTGCGTGGATATCGTAAATGTAGAGGGTCCAGTATGTAAACCGATCAACTAGACATTCACGCGGACTGTCTAATAGACTGTGTAAACCATAGTGTTCGGGATTATTACATGGGCAATGTTTGATATTATTGAATATTAGTGAATTCGTAGAACATTACGCACGAATATTTACATCGTAAAGTGTTATTAATCCGCGCGTCTCCGACCACGCGTGTTTAGACATGCGCTTGTTATATTAATTGAATTTAACGAAAGTTATGCTTTTACACAGATGTTTCCATTGAGCTTTATTTCCTTTCTGTCATTTTCTTTTTCTTTTTCTTTTTCTTTTCTTTTTCTTTTTTTCCTTTTTTTTTCCGCCCCTTTTACAAAAGATCGATTAAATGAGTGAAATTTTCAAGTGGTTTAATAGCAATATATTATACATTCTCTTTTAATCATCTACTCAAATGTGAAAGAACTATTATTGTTTTTGTGTGTATATAAATAAACAAAACAACAGGCTCGAGTAACGTAGGTATTTATTGTTTATATTGTATTATATATATATATATATATATATATATGTGTACACATACGTGCGCGCGCGTGCGTATATGACACACACACACACACGCATACACAAACATTATATATATATATATAGATATGAACATCTCAAAAGTTTAAAGTTTCTACAAATGCAAAACATTTATGTTGGTACAGTGAAACATATATGGTTTCGCAAATGGGAGATATTAGTTATCCAGAACTTTTATTGGATATTAAAGATAACACAATGGATAGTATAGTGAAACATGAACCTCCACAAGAAATGGGTCCATCTTCTGCCTCTGTTCCAATACCTGGAGGGCATAGAGGAACAAGAGGTATATACGACCAATTTTCTCCTTCTCCTCTTCAAACATCTACTTGGAGTAATAGGCCAGAGCATGTTGAATCTCCCTTCAAAATGGATCCAGATCAATTGGATATATCATTTAAAATGGACGATGATGATATATTCCAAGTTGATAAAGCAGATCTTATACAAGGACCTACGCTTGCTGAATTAAATGCCAATGACGATACACTATTAGGAGATTTAAATTTTGATGATTTATTATTGCCAGAGGAATACATTCAACCTTTAAGGATCGGACCCAATGTTATTCCTTCTGGTGGTTCTTCTTTGTTTAATAGTAATGGACCTGGATTTGCATCCAGTAGCTTTCCACAAACTGGAACTGCATTCAAAAGTTGCCCAACATATACAAATACTAGTGGATTTACATTGAATAGAGATATAAATATAACAGATAATTTTGAAGGTGTCAGTCCTCCTGTTTTTACCAGTCCAGGAACTAGCAATATTGCAGGTGTGTATACATTCCTTTTTTTTCTTTTTTTTTTTTTTATTTTATCACAAAGTTTTATTTACATTCATTATTCATTTTTTATATAATTGTTTTTTGCTGATACTTCATAGGTAGTTCTACAGCAAGTTCTTCGACTTCTCCTCATACGGCAACAAGATCAACTGGTCCTTCTACTCTTCACGAATTATTAATGAAACGAAACGAAAATTCATTTAATACTCCAGTAACTAGCCAAATTGATACAGCGTCTGGTATAAGTGGTAAACCTAAGGTTTCTAGGCTCTCTATGTCTGCACCAACACAATCCATGGGATTAGAACAAATTTGGGCTCATAGAGAACCACGACAACATCTCTTAAGTACTGGCAGTCTTAGTCTAGTTGAAGCAGGATCTACGAGTAGTCTAAGCACTGGTGGTGCTCTTAGTCCAGACCCACTTTGTTATTTAGATCCCCTTAGTCATGATGAAGGATATGAAGACAGTGATGATGACAGTGATCATTATGATGATTACAGCAGTGATAATGGTATTCAAATATACATTAAAAATTGCATCATACTATATATACATATATATATATATATATATATATATATATATATATATATATATATAAAATAATAAAGAAATATAATAAAGCTTTTTTTCACAGATACTGGTGGTAGCGATGGAGAAGACCAAAGTAATGTTAGTGTAGGAGGTGATACAGCAGACATAGGAAGAGAAAGTAGACACAGTAAAAAGGAAAGATATTTTTGGCAATATAATGTTCAAGCAAAGGGTCCAAAAGGTCAGCGTTTAGTTGCGAGAACACGACTGGAAGATCCTCATGTTTTGAACGAAGCTACAGATCCTGTATTCAGTCCTCATTGTGCTCTCAGAGGAATCAAGCACAGTGGTAAAGCACGTAAAGGAGATGGCAATGATCTTACACCAAATCCACGAAAACTTTTTAGCATTGGCAAAGAATTAGATAAGCTCTCGCGGGTTATAAACGATATGACCCCTGTTTCTGAATTGCCTTTCACAGCGAGGCCTAAAACGCGGAAAGAAAAAAATAAATTAGCATCGCGCGCATGTCGTCTTAAGAAAAAAGCTCAACATGAAGCTAATAAAATAAAGTTACATGGTCTTGAACAAGAGCACAGTTGAGTAAAGATAGTTCTGATTTATTTAAAAAAAAAAATATATATATATATATGGTTCACTTTGTCTATACATGTGTATATATGTATACAAACATATATGTAATGATTACTTTGAATGATATGCTTTTTTATCATAGGACGATTGATCCAAGGTATATCACAAGCAAAACAAACTTTAGCTGCTAAACTAACGGAACCTAATCCTGAAAATCAGGAAGAACTAACAAGACAAATGGAAAAATATTGCAAATTGGCCACCAGTTAGTATAACTTAACATAATTATATACATGAAAAAAATATTGATATCCTAATATCATATTTCCTATTACAGAGATACGCATAGCAAATCACTCTACAGAATTTGTCAATAAAGTGTTAGACAAGGTCAAAGCAGGAGTGCCTGATGGTGGCATTGATGATTTTTAATATAAACGAATTTTTTTTTTTTTTTTTTACATCAACTTTATGTTTATACTTATGTACAGAAGATTGAGAGAAAGAGAGAGAGAGAGCGAGCGAACGAGAAATTATACTTTTACATTAAAACAGCTTCATTTTGTTTTTGTGAAAATGCGCTAAGAAACTATTGTTAATTTATTGATTAATGTGAATAAATATAATCGCTATGTTATAATTACAGGTAGAAATTCATATTCTTAAGAAAATCGCAGAACCGACAATTTTGTGTACTCAGCTTTTATAATATGATACTATCTTCATTTTGTTAAAGACTGTGTTCTTTGTTATTGTATATAGTATTGGTTCAACTGTACATACTATTTTTTTAATCTTAATCAAACAGGAACGATGTACCTTATTTATGCAGTAAAATTGACCACTCGATGAAGTACCCTGTAATAAAATTCTTTTATTCTCTGTAATAGTCGAACATAACTATATTTCTTCCTATATTCGTTATTGTAAATTTGATCACGTAATTACATCTATTTATGTATGTACGCATATATACATATAGCACTTTTTAGAAAAAAAGAAAAAAAAACAATAGTTTATCAAGCAGGGGCATGAAAACGTATATTTATATCTTTATGAAAATTTAAAAAGAAAAAAAACGAAGAAATACATTTGCTTTGTCGATTCCTTTTTTTTTTTTTAAAGAAGAAGTAATAATTACGAATAATATTAATACCTTGAATAACATCTATTCTGCAACATATTATATAATCAAAGAATATTATCCTTTGCATATATTAAATTAGCTAGATATTATTATTAAATCCTATTTGTAAGTTTGATCGTTGATATTCATGAAAAAAAAAAAGAAAAAAAAAAAAAACTATTATCGATTAGGTAACAATCGAATTACTTTTCTACGACGAAAAAATGTATTCTTGAATTATTTTTTTTTTACCTTAAAGCAATACAATAGCTTTAATAAAAAAAAAAAGAAAAATCGTACAATAAACAAATAATCTTGAAGCTTTGCTCGCTTAAAGGATGGTTTCTATTGGTTCATTCTTATCGTTTGAACATCGTTGAAAAATGATTGGCTGAGGATTATAGTATTAAACATTTGCTGCGTAAAACTATTATACATATATTTTAATATACGATAGGAATGATGACGATAAAGCAGAAACGGTGCTAGTGTTTGTGCGTGTATATGCGGTGTGTACGAAGTGAGGTTATTCAGTGTGAATCAAATTTCAAAGTAACTATGCCGATTATGCGAAAAATACCGTAAGTGATTATTTCTATTCAAAAATAATGGCAGAAAATCTGTCGAAACGGCCTTCTAAAGGAATCTTGAAAACGTCCAGTAGCTTCGATAATCCAGAGGCGCCTAGGTAATCATTTATTATATTATATATTTATATCATCACTTTGTAAAATTAAAAAGATGATCTCACAGAAAATTTTCTTTGCATGACTAAAATGGACAGAACAAGTTTGCATTGTGTATATATATACATATATATATATATATATATGTATATATATATATTATATCCAATTAATATATTTGTTCAAATTTTAAATACAGAAAAAAAGTAAATATTCAATAACTAAATATTAAAAATAATAATATTGAAAAAGAATTATATATTTTGTATGCATCCTCCATAGTTAATACATATGTCATTTAAATTAAAATCATCGAAATTAGATGATTTATGATTATTGCACTAGTTTATTAAAAATATATATTACGTTATATAAATCAATGAATTATTTAATCGATATAATAATATATAATAAATAATAATAAAAATATAACATGTACGAGTATAGCATCCCTAAATTTTACGTATTACAAAAAATATTTTATATATATACATTTTATATATGTATATATATATATATATATATATATATATATATATATATAGTATATTATATAATATATAATATAATAATATATTATATGTTATATATATATAATTATTATATTTTTATAAAATTTAATAGGATTGGAACATTTGTATATTATTTTTTTATTTTGCTTAGACCAAGTAAAGAAACAAAATGGGATGAAATGAATATTATTGCAACTCTTCATCCGCCTGAGAAAGATTATGGCCATATGAAAATAGATGAACCTAAAACCCCATATAATTATGAAGGCCTTGGCAGTGAACATGAATTCGATGAGTTAGACTCTGTTGCCATTGCAGCAAAGTGAGTGTTCAATTGATGCACATATATATATATATATCGTTTAAGTTCATTGCTATAAAATAGTCAATTATTGATAAAAGGCTATCATCTTATATTTTATGTAATTATAACATTTTTATTAATTTGAGACAATTAATGAAGTATATTTTAGAAATTGTTAAAAATTGTTTATAAAAATTTAGATTAGCTGAAGGTACTAAACCAAAAGTTTTTGAAGAACAAAGTGAGAAAGATGAGGATGAAGAAGATGAAGAAACACCAGAGGAAAGAGGTGAAGCAATCTTCTTAAGTTAAAATCTTGTTACAAGATTTATTTAATAAAGGAATATTATCTAATATAATAATAATAATAATAACAATAATAATGCAAAACTTGTTTAAAGGGAAAACATTTTTAATTGTCATTATTTTTATTTTGCAATATAACATGCTTTAATTATAGAAAAGAGGAAAGCATTTGAAGCAAAAAGGAAAGGTCATTATCGTGAATGGCATACTGTTCAACTAGCACGTAAACAGTTTTTGGAACAAGACGAAGACGAAGATGAGGATGATGAAGTGGAAAATAAAATTGACAGCGATACATCGTCGGAAGAAGAGAACGCATTTAAAACACGTTTTAAGTGCATACCGTCCTGTAAGAGAAGGGAAAACAAATAAATAACAAACAAATCTTTAGTAATCCAATTTTATATCATAGATAGTTTTATGTCATCATTTGTAAATAAATATAACAGACTTTTATAATTTCTTAGTTTCAGTATGTTAATGATTAGTTACATTTTTTAATATATATTAAAATTCGATCAAGAATCATTATTATTTGATAATTCTTTATATAATTATTCGTTTTATACTAATTATATATGTATATGTATATATATATATATATATATATATATATATATATATATATATATTTCAGTGTAATGACTACTATTATAAATTAGGCATTTTCGTGATAATAATTTTGTATATATGTACAATTGAAATTATAATTTGAATTATCGTGCATTTAAAATGACTCATATTTATTAGAATATTACATTTGGGTTTTTTATGTTGCTATGCATAATAGAAATAATATAACATTGCATCATTGTAATTAAATTACATTTAACAACCATTACCAACCTCGTGTCAAGATTAGTACAAATTTACGTGTGCAGTATTGAATAGAAAGGAATACATAAATTTTGAGAAGAATGCAATTAAATTTAATCATGTATTCCATACTACAATGATTATAATCGTTCTTATATATACTAAATAGACATAAGCCATTGAATGTAACAATGGACTGAAGTATGTAATTAGAAGTAACGTATTAAACGTAGCATAGCTTTTAAAACGAGATAAATGATTGTGACTAATACAAAGAAAGTGTATGCATATATATTATTAGAGTTGCCATTCCTTTTGAAGTCAAATAACAATATATTGTACAATATATCCGTCTGATAATTAGATACATTTTTATTACAGTTTATTACAGCGATAGTAATCAATAAAGATGCTGGTAATATATCTTTTACATTAGATTTTAATTGTTTCCATAAACGAAAGTGAATTTGATGAAAGTTGCGCGAAACTATTGCAAATAAATTTTAAGCTATTTTATAGTATGCTTATTAACTACATTAACAATTGCCATGCATAGGAAACAAAAGATGTATTATCCAAAGATAAATAAATTAATTAACAATTATTCCTTCTTATCTTTTTATTGAATTTCATTACACATAATATATATTATATATATATATATATAATATACGTTTTTTTTATGCTACAGGTGTATTAAAAACAAAAAAAAATTGCAACTAATGATCTAATAACATTTCGCAATTTATGTATGAATTATTTTACGTAAATTAACGAAAAAATTAATTTTAATTATATATTAAATACTTCCTAAAAGGTGTTTTTTTTTTTGTTTTGCAAAAATTAATTGCCATTATTTTTAGAAGATAACAAGAAAATTATATTGTTTACATATTTAGAGAGATTCATTGGAAATAGATTATAAAAAACAAAAAAAAAGTTGAAAAAGTTTCATAAATTTTTCAGAATGTTTACATAAAACTATAATAATAAAATTTTATTGATTTAATGAAATTATGTACAAAAGCTTTGTAGTCATAATATAATAAAATTAGATAAAGACCGACAAATGAGATGTTTTAAGCACAATATTATTAACATAACAATGATAATTAATACATTTATGAGATAAAACAGTCAGCAATAAAGGAAGATATATTACAGTGCTGAATCATTCTATTATTGTTTCATGATTACATAGAAAATAATAATCCAACATTCAAGTAAATGTCTGAATTTTCTATGTTACAATTAATCAATTAATATAAATTGAAAAAAAAAATGTATGTGTGTGATCTTGCCACATTATTCAACTATAATTATCTAGATGCCACAATATATGTACATAATTTTTTTTTACTCATCGAGCACATAGAATATTAATTCAAGCACAGTATGGGTATCTTGACTGCTTTGTGCAGCTTTATGTAGAATTTGAATTAATTCATTATCAAGACTGTTCATATAAATAGGTGGTAACTTTGCACCTTCACTACCAGCTTCATATCCAACCTATATAAATGATTACATTATTTAAAGAATGAAATTATAATATATAATATATATATGTGTGTGTATTTCCCATATTTAATAATAAATTAAATTAAACTATATAATTATAACTTACATTATCTGGATGAATAGTTGTTCTAACACCAATTTTTGTAAGTCCTGCAGTTGCTAAAAGATCTAAAAGTTTAACTAAAGCTGCACATGTTGCCCTTGCTATACTCTCTGATAATTTATTTATATCCATAGGATCGTGAACACCATTTGGATGATCATCTGACTGCACATAAAATTTTCTTTTTTATAATTTATTGCTTTAATGTATAAAACAATAAACTTATTTTAATTTATTTACATTGAATAAATAAATATTGTATACAATGGTACGATTTACAAAATATGTGAATCGAAAAATATATGATATCTCACATTATTATTTCAATATATAAGGTAAAATTAATAAAATATTATACATACTTTGATAATAAAAACTTCCGTCCAACGAATAAATCGACTGGTTCCTCTATAATCAGTAGCATTATGAACTCTTATAGAAGGTACACCATCCATTAATTGTCCATCGATAGGACTTTT